AATTTATTATCTGTTACACAAAATAAGTCAACTGGGACCCTTCCTGGTGGTGCAGTGGGTTAAAGCACAGCATTACGAAGTTAAAGCCACTGTAGCATGAGTTCAATCCCTGGCCCTGGAGGTGACCCATATAGGTCTGATGTGGCAGACCTATCCTGATGCTTCCCTCAGCAGTGTACTTCATCCATCAACCTGTTCTGCTCTCCGCTTAGTCTTTGGTGAATTCTCTCACCACTCCTTCACTTCTGGCCTGTACTCTAGTTCTGTATGAATAAATAAATAAATCTTTAAAAAAAAGTCAATTACTAGTGTAATAAAATATTGTGGGTCAACAAAAAGTCAGTTGAAGGTGGTTTTTACATATACTTGCTATAGATAGCTCAGAGATAAACAAATATTTTCAAAATTAGGCCCAAGAGCCATAAATAAATTTAGCTGACACAGTGTATGTTCAAAGATTATCAGTTGTATAAGAGTATTAGAGCTGGGTTTATCATGGTCAGATTTCACTGAAATATTGAAGACAATTCTGTTTATGAGCAGTTACTATAAAGAAGTAACAATCTCATTTAAATAAGATTTTGATTAAAATAGTGGTAAAAGTGCTGACATTAAAAGATTTTTACCTGTGTGATATTAATCAGTTGAATATATAAAAACTTCCTACTTAAAACATTTCATAACAGAGTCTGAGTCATGAACACCTAACATTAACAAATGGATAGTTTGTAAATATATTTAAAGGAAAACAACAAATGAGAACAGTTTGATTAATAATACAACATCAAATGTTCTCTCCTGAATGTTTGAGAACATGATAAAATTATGCTGAATTCTTAATTTTGTATCACAGAGTTCAAATAGATGAACATTTTGAAATAGTCATATTACATTTTCACAGTGAAGACGTTTTTGTTTGCCAATATGACAATGACACATCTTTTGTCACCGCAGATGCCTAACACTCTTTTCCTTCACTTCCAGTTGATGTTATAAGGAAAATAGAGAAAATAAAACAAAAACTACCTCAACTTCTCACCATATAGTTTACCGACCACAACTACCTTTACCTGCATAACTTTCACTCTTCCTATTAATGAAAATGTCCTTGATCCTATAAGAGACCAATCTGTTGCTGTAGTGAATACTATCTTCTCTTGTCTTCTTAATTAACTACAATCCTACAATCCCTCAATCTCTTTAAATACTTGATAGCTGCCATAACCTCACAAATATGCAGTTACCACCTTTAAAATCCTCACTCTCACTCCTGCCCTAATATTTTACTTTATTTTAAAATAAATGCCTACACTTTCTAGTCATTGATTTGCCTCCAATTTTCTGTCTAATTCATTCCATTCTGACATTTTGTTTCCTACTTCTCAACAGAAATGCCATTTTATCACCAAACAATGTTCATCATTCTACTTAACAGGAGCATTTGCCATCATTTACCCATTTTTTTCATGAAATACATGTTTAATGTAATTTGGGACTTTCCTTTGCAGCATTACCATGTTTATTAGTCCTTTGGGTATCAATGTTTTATACATTTAGTTTTTACATTTGGTCCACGGGTCTATGGTGCTTATTGTTAAGTTTGTAAACAGTGTAAGGATACAATTTCATTTTTTAGTGTATCAGTAATCATTTGTTGAAAACACTATCATTCTACCATTTAATTACCTTTCCCAAAAGTCAATGGAACAGATATGTATTGTGGCTTATTTCTGAACTCTCAATTCTGTTCCATTGACTATGTCTATCCTTAAACCAATACACAATTTCGATTATTGTTGCTTTAGAATTAAGTCTTGAAATCAGATACTGTGCATCTTCCAACACTGTTCTTATTCAAAATTATTTTGGTTATTCTAGGTCTTTTGCGTGTCTGTATCTTTGCATTTCCGTATCATATTTTAAATGCATTTGTGAGTTTTTAGAAAAGAATACTGGAATTTTGCTTAGCACTGAATCCATGGATAATTTTTGTAAGTAACCTGAATAACATTAAATCTTTCAATTCATTATCTTGTCCTCTATTTAATTGGATAGCCTTGAACTTATGTCAGCCAATACTTTATTATCTTTGGAATTCCAGAGCAAAAATGGTAAATTTATCTCTAAGTATGTTTGGTACCATTAAACTATCAATAGCATTTCTTTTAAGTTATGATTTGTAAATGTTCATTGCTTATCCATCAAAAAACAATTATTTTTGTATATTGAGGTTGAACCCTGCCAGTTTGTTGACTACATTATTAGTTCTAATAGCTGGTTCTGTGGATTTTAAAAGATATTCTTCCTGAGTGATTCTGGCATCTAAGAATGCCTGTCTTACTTTTTCTATTCCATTCTATATTATTTTTTTCTCATACACTGCATAGGTTAGTTACCTCTAGCACACTGTTGAATAGAAGCAGAGAAAGCTGATATCCTTATTTTGTTCTCAATTTTAGGCAGAAAGCATTCATCTTCATATTAGAATTATCATATCTGCTATTTATCAGATTAAGCAAATTTTCGATTTCTAGTTTATCAAGTTTTTATCATAAATGGATATTGAATTTTTTCAAGTGATGATTTTCTACATATTGTGATAATATAGATTTTCTTTTAGTGTTTAAACACTCTGAGTATAATGGACTTCTAATTGATTTTTAATTGATTTTTGAAAATTTGAACCAATCTTGCTTTCCGAAGATGAACTTAATTTCTTAGTAACTACTTATCACTTTTTATGTATTAGTTGATTTTAAGTGGTAAAATTTTTGTTTCCAGTTTGTATTTGATAATGTATTATAATTTTCTTGTTTTTATTTTTGATATCAGTATAATGGTAACCACATTAAATGAGTTTTGAAGTACTCCATTCTCTTCTATTTTCTGGAAAAGTTAGTATAGAATCTATATTATCACAATATGTAGAAAATCATCACTTGAAGAAATATTATTTCTTCCTTTCTCAAAGAATTCAACAGTAAGACCATATGGTCCAGGAGTTTTCTTGTAATAAGTGTTAAGTGTATAGTGAGGAGGGAGAGAGAAGCTATTTAAACCAAAGATAAAAATTATTTGTATGTACAAAATGGACTTACTAATCTTTTCAAAAACCAACTTTGGTTTTCTTCTATTCTTCTGTTTCACTACTTACACACTGGTATTTATTTTGCTTGCTTGGTTTTATTCTGCTGTTTTTTCTTTAGCAGTTGAAATTACTAAATTGAGCTCACTGTCTTTGAATAAAGCAGTTATTGTAAATTTTAATGGTTTCATTTTCATTTAATTCAAAATATTTCCTAATTTTCTTTGTGATTTCACCTTTGATCCATGGGTGTAAATAGAAGTATGTAAATTTCTATATATTTAGAGATTTTTCTCAGACAACTTTTTACTTCTAGTTTAATTCAGTTTTGGTTGTATGATTGCAATCTTTTTAAAGCTGATGAGAATTATTTTATGTTCCATGTGTACTTTGCCAAGAGTGTATTCTGCTATTTTGGATTGAGTCACCTTCACCTATAAACATCAACCGGGTCTTGGTGGTTGGTGGTGCTGCTCAAATCTTCTGTATCTACATTGATTTGTCTCTGAAAGATTAATTAGTAAGTCCTTTATGTCCATCGAAGTAATTTTCATCTGTAGAAAGATGAAACTACAGTTCCTCTTTAACTACATCTTTAACTAAATCAATTTGCTACAGTTAACTGATTTGAGTATTTCTCCTGTTTTCCACATTATGGATCTTAAAACCTTACTTGGTATATACACAGCATTATGTCTTGATTCAATTGACCCCTCTCTGTCAGATTCACTCTTTAGTCTTCTTCAGCCAAGACTACTCTGGGAACCTAAACTTTATAGTTTGTATTCTTGCCTTCCATTTTCAGGTTGATTTTGGCCAATGAGACACCAGGTGGAGTTTAGAGGGAAAGAAGTTTGGCTATTTAATTCTTCTCGGTTGCAGGTTGGAGGTGGCTATGCTATTTTATGAAGTCACCTGGAGGAGGCTATCATGTAGACAACTGTTTCCTACCAAAATAAACCTCATTCATTCTGGTAACACCTCTTTCCTGTTACTTGTTAGGTTTAAATATGATAGTGGCTCATTGTCTTGGGTGTTTCACTATTGCTTTTTATTTTCTGGTAACTTTGTTCACATTGTACCTGGCTCGCTCAGCTCACTAAGTTTCCTTCAATCACTTCTTTCGAGTATGTTTGATTAAGCAGAGAAAGACGTTATGCAGGAATTACAGGCGAGACTAATTATATTGTGGAGGCATGGGCAATGGCAAATAAATCAAGTTACAGCAGGGCAAACTAGAATTCATCTTAAATCTTAAGTGAGTTATCTCTGACATAAATTGCAACGTGTCTAAGGAGATTTTAAAGGAAACTTAACGAAGATAAAAAATGCTGAGATCGGGGTACACCGTTTCCAAAGTGTGCCAAACTTGTTCAGATACGTTGCAAAAGGGGGAAGCAACAGTTACTACATGGAAGACAAGTGCCATTTGACTTAATGTTTCCATCGACCAGATAAGCCTCAATTTTTGCACTAGCTTGGCCCACAAACCATTTACAACAGGCATCATAGATCACAACAGAATAGTTGCCGACATTAGCGCGGGAAGAGGAGTCGCGAGGCTCTAGGGGGGGTAAAGAAAACACCCGCTTTTGGACTCAAATGAGTTAAACTCTTGTCTTCTGTCCAGCCCGAATATAACCCCGCCTTTCCTCACCTCAGCCTCGGAAAATCAATTCCATTTCCCAGCGAGACCCTGCCCTTCGGCCAAGATGCCAATTAAATATGTGCAAGAACAAAAAACTAAATAGAAAGGCTCTGACTGTACAGTCCTTAGCCTGCAAACTCTCGCGAGAACTCTCAGAGAGCCGGCAGTGCCCAAGGAGAACTCGCGAGCCAACCTCCGGGGGCGGGACCACGCGGGGCCCCACCCTTCCTGAGCGTGTTCGTGCCGTGGCGGGAATTTCGCCGGTTTCGCGGGTTGATTCTGCGGGCATTGGAGCGGTGTTCTGCGCGGGCCAGGGCCTGTCTCGGGGATTTAAAGTGTGAGTAGATGGAATGTGCATCAGAGGTGTCCTGGTACACAGAACTCTGGCCCTGCTAGTCCTTTGCCGGCCCCGAGCTAGTCCCTCCGGGTGCTCTTTTGGCGGGACCTTGGCTGGAAGATTTAGGAGCTGGCGCGACCAGCGGGCCTTATCCCCCACTTTCCCCCTACTTCCCCCGCTCCTCGCCTTCCATCCCGATCTATTCCCCATCTCTTCCCCCATTCTGTCCCCTAACTTTGCCGCTGCCCTGCGGTAGAAGTGGTGTAGTTCTATTTGCTAAGGTAATGGATGGCGCTGATGGAGGCGGGTCCGGAAGTTGAAGCTGAGTCTATCTGGCTAACATTTCTTTCCTGTCCTGACTGCGGGTCAGACTTAGAGGGGCAGCTATTAAATTACTACCACAACTAGTTGGGTACTTTCAAAGTTGTGGCAGCCTTGATCTCGGGAACTTGTTGGGGAGAGTTGTTGAGGATTTGACGTTTGCATAACTTAAGTCAATTTCTTCGCCCAGCCCACTTCCAGAAATCTCAACACAACTTTGGAGCCCCGATTCGAAATGAATCCCAAACTTTTCAGGACATGAAGTAAACCATGGATAATTGTTCCACTGCGTCGACCTTCCTGACTGACAGCTTAGAGTTGGAGTTGGGAACAGAATGGTGCAAACCGCCTTACTTTTCTTGTGATTTTGATAATAGGGGAGGAGGAAAACATTTTTCTGGGGAGTCCTACCTTTCCAGTGGAGCTCTTAAACGGTGGGTAAAAAATATTGGGAACTTTTTTTCCCCCCTTCTTCAGATTTTAATCAGTGCATTAGGAATGCTGTTTGGTTGTACTAACGATAGTATTACTGATTAAGGTATTTCCTGACTTTATGTAGTATTACCCTTGGTAAGTTACCTATAACATGGATTCATGGAATTCCAAAAGGAAGACATACTATAGTATGAGATTTAGCGTACATTATGAGACTAAATCAGAGTTTTCATTTCAGACTAATTTTGAATCTTGATCCTTTACCAACTAATTTTGAAGAAGATACAGTGGAAATATTTGGTATTCAGTGGGTTACCGCAACAGCATTAGTGAATTCATCTAGAGTGCTCTTTCATTTATTCAGGTATGTTTTTTTGTTGTTGTTGTTTTTTACTGATACTGTGTAGCCGTGCTGTTTGGTTTTGTAAGTTACCTGGTTGATTGTTTTCTATTACAATTTAATACAAAAGCTCCACAGAGTTGTGCTTGTTGCTTAATGTATTATCAGTAGTAGCAATCAAGCAGTAATGTTTGTAAGGAGTCATGATTTTAATTAGCGATTGTTTAGTGACTTAGGAATCTTTATGCTTTTGTCTTTGACATTATGTACAGAAGACATAAGATAGTGAACTGTACTACAGTATTGTAAGAAAACTAAACTACTTTTTTGCTTAATCTCCATAGTTGTTCAGTAGCCTCTAAAGAATGAACTGGGCTTTGCAGCTAAACCTTTTAGACTATAAAATAGAAATATGATTAATTGAAGAAACTTAATGAAAACTTTTAAACACACAATTGTAAAGAGAATAATACAATGGACCTCTACCTGCCCTCCCTCGGTTATAATAAACATAAAGGTTATATTTTATTTATTGTGTCCTTCCCTTCCTATCCCCCCACAAATTTTTGGCTTAAATATTTTAAAGCAAGTTCCAGTAATATCATCATGTATTCAAATACTTCATATATATTGCTTAAACGTAAGAACTTTTTAAAACATGAACACTATCTCATGATTCCAATCAAAAGCATTGAAGTACTATTTTATATTCATTTAAAACTTAGTTCATATTTACATTTTAGATTATTGAGAGATGAATTTGAATCTTTATCCAAAATTTTTTTAAGATGATATGTGGTATATTTAAATTACAATGGCAAAGTAGGTAAATTTCTCCTGTCTTACCATGAGACCTTGTGAAGTGATATCTCTGTATCTGTGCCATGCATATGTTTTATTTGGAGACTGCATGGAGTGAACCATTTCTGTAGTCCTTTTTTTAAAGCCCTAGTGTATAACTATATTGTGTGTAATTTAACATTTCATTGTTAACCTCGAATATTTTATATAAGTGTCCTAAACATATAAGACATTATGTTGAAAACATTATGTCTCGATAGTGGTATCTGTACTTGACCTTATCCCTGAGATAAATGGAAGGTCACAAAAACATGTTTTATCTTTTGTCAGTCTTGGCTCCTGAAACTGACACTGACATGAAGTGTTAAACATCATCATACACAAAGGAAAGGCATTGATGCTGTGTAATTGATTTGGAAACACTGTAAACATGATTGTTACATACTTTCCTCTATTCTAAAATTAATTCTCACCTTACATTTTTCTTTTAACTTAGGCAGCAGCTATACAACTTGGAAACATTATTACAGGCTAGCTGTGATTTTGGTAAGTTTTAGTGTGTTTATGGCAGAAAAGAATTGTTTTATTAAAATGATTGCACACAGATCTGTGATGCACAGTTGGGCTATCACAATAATATGGAGGAAGTGTGAGGTCAAAAGTTTAGTGCACAGTTTATTTTGTATTCATGAAAAGTAGTTTAAGTAAGAGGAAGTGCCAGAATTCATGCTGTCTTGCTCATCTTTTCTGCTTTTTTTTTTTTTTACATCTAATAGATCATGGATTCTAACTTTAGGTAATGTATCTATTAATAGATCTTAATTCACTGAGTTCCTTTAAGGATTAAATGACAAAATGTAAAGTGCTTAGCCTAATATCTTGTTATTGTGCCTGGCAACCAAAGAACACCAGGACATACACATGGTCAAATAAATGATTAAGTAGCTTAATAAGCAAGGTGGAAATGTGTATCATGAGGAACACTTAGGGGTTCTTAGTAAGAGTGAGTGGAGAGAGGTTTGTGACAAGAGTTTTGGCTTATTCTGGCTAGCTTTGGATAAAGTATAAGGAGGCTAAGGCTTTATTCTGGGTTGGATACTGTTAGGAAGCATTAACAATTTTATGATGATAGTTACGTTAATTTTTATCTAGGAGGTGGGACAAAGGGAGCCTAAGGAGAATCCTAATTAGTAAAGAAGGCAATAGTCACTTTAGCTGAAGAGGAGGATGCTTTTTTGAATTTTGTTTATTTTTATGTGATTGCCTAGTGCCTTGTTTCTAGGTCAGACATGATTACAGAGAGGTTTTGTTGTCTTTTTTTTTTTTTAAATTATAATCATGAAATAGCCCTGTCTAGTTATTTTTGATATTTTATGAAAATTATTTAATTTCAGTGAGGAATACCTGTTAGCTGTCAACTGTCAGGGCTGTTTATTTTGTTTTGTTTTCTCAGTATGTGCTTAGTAAGTAAATGTTGAATACTATGGTTTCATTAACACCTGAGTCCTGGCAGTATTGTGCAAGGTGCTAATGAATCAAAGAGGAAAGTTATGCTGCTGAATAGGTTGCAGTTGAATAGGACAGACATGCAAGCATAGGTCAGCATGGAACATGGATAAGTATCATGATAGAGGAATGTATAAGCTATTACAGAAGCCAGGGATTTCATCTGTGTGACATTACTGAGGCATACCAGCTCAGTCTTCAAGAATGAGGAAGAGTTAGCGAAAAGATTTTGGGCAAGGGAAGCATTTGAAGGAGAAACAATTGTATAGACAAAGACATTGAAGTATATAAAATCATAAATGTTCAGTAGTAGGTAGTAATTATGTCTGATTTACAGAGTACGTGTGAGAGTGATGAATTTGGAAGGAATGAAATAGCAGTTGTCTTTGTAAATCGTACCAAAGAATCTGTATTTTGTAACCAGTGGGAAACCTCTAAAAGATTTTCATGGAATTGCAAGCAATACCTTTCCCATATAGAGTGGCTTAAATAAGTCAGTTGTGGAAGGCATTTATTAGGCAAGATTGTTCTTTGAAATGCATGCTTTGACTTGGACTATTTTGTTGAAATGGTTGTTACACTGACATTTTATCTACTTTTACAGCTTAAGAAAAAGCTTTTAATGGTAGATTTATTGGCCAGGTTAGTAGTGGTAAAGATTATTCCTAGATCTGCTTGCCTCTGTCATGCGGCTGTAGCAGAGCTTTATTAATAAAATTACCTAGCTAATCTTGATCCCAGTTTTCTACAGAAAGCCCTTACATTGTGTCATTTACTACAGTGCATGTGGTTCTTGTTCTATTCATTCTACTCCCAGATTGCCTTTATTTAAGGTAGACTAGCATAAGAATGCTTGTCTGTTTATAAATACAGTTTTATTGGTATTAACCCCTTATCAGATATTGTATTTCTTTGTTTCTAGGCATTCCATTTGTTTTGTTTTTTTTTTTTTAAGGATTTTTTTTTTTTAAAGATTTATTTATTTGTGTATACAGAACTGGGGTACAGGCCAGAGGCTCAGGGGCGGTGAGAGGCTTCACCAGAGACAGAGCGGGGAGCAGAACAGGCAGACAGACGAAGCACACTGCTGAGGGGAGCAGCGGGCGGGTCAGGAGAGGTCTGCTACGCCATGTGGTCACCTCTGGGGCAGGCGAGGATCGAACTCATGCGGAAGCGGCCTTAGATTCTCAGTGCTGTGCTTTAACCCACTGCGCCACCAGGGAGGGCCTGTTTTTTTTTTTTATCCTCCATTTTGTCCTCCCTTTTCATCCATCTTGAACATCATTGGAGTATATATTGACTGCTGATTCTTTTATCACTCATTTCTGGGGTCTCTTCATATAAACTAATTGTTCCTCTGGTTCTGTCATATATTTTTCTACTTCAAGTATCTAGTAATCTTGTGTAATTGTGTAATAGACATTGGAGAATTTACATTGTGACTTCCTACATTTTCTTTTATTCAAATAGTGTTGAATACTCTCTTGTTCTATGTTGAGTACTTGTACTTCATTGGTTCTTTATGAAGCTAATTTTAAATTTTGTTAGACCTTTCGGAAAGTAAACTTTAACCTAATTTTAATTTAGCTTTAGAAAGCCTTCTGAGGATTCTGTCTGGTGTATTACATTTTCTTTTCTTCTTGCTGGTGGCGACCTGAACTATTTGTTGGCTGAGCTATTTTCTGATTTCCTCTTGCTGTGGTAAGTTTTTCTTATGTGAACAGATCAGTATTTAGCCAGAGACTCAAAGGAAATCTAATTTGTACATTTGCAGTGCTCTGTTTATGTGTGAAGTTTCTTTTTTTGGTACTTTTCTCCTGCAAATTTAGACATCCCTATATTACAGGTCTCAATGTTTCTTTGGCTCAGTGATTTGGGTTTACTTTCCCTGTGCTTTAGTCTGGAAACCATCTTTAATAGGAAATTGGTATGGTCTTAGGATCCTTCTTCTCTCTTGGATGGCAGTCTTGGATTGCTTGTATCCAGTGCCTGAAGACTGTTCTTTTATGTTGTTCTGATTTTCTTTATGTGGGTAAATTTTACTCCTTTTCATTCACCTTGACTGACTGCAGGAGTTCACAGCAGATAGATAGATAGATAGATAGATAGATAGATAGATAGATAGATAGATAGATAGATAGATAGATAGATATATGTATGTATATATGTATATACATATATATATTAACATAATAGTTTATTTTTACCTCATTTTGTGCCTTTTTCCATTTCAGTTTTAATCCCTGTGGGCTTCCCATCACCAAATCACCCATTTGCCATCACCATAATCCAGTGCACTTTTGTACTCGCCCCCCATTTTTGATCCCATTCCCCATAGCAGATATTTTTAAAAGAGCAATACCTTAATCAGCTGAGAATTGTGAAAGTGGAATCATATAACTCTTGTAGGTGAAACATAAGTAAGGTATAGAAATTCACTGTACTGTATGTAGATATTTGCATATCTTCATACTTAGGCTTCTGTTGATTTTGAGATATGGTAGTGACCATATTTGCTCCTTTGGGCTTAAATTTAGAAGTTTTTCTTTGTTTAATATGAATGGGAATTTTTCCCTGTATTTGTTCTGATTTTTTTTCCTATAGAGCTTGTTGAGTGTTTTGTATGTAGTAGCTATCCAGGTAATTTTTCCTGGTATAAATGTTGGGAGAAAAGATGGCATAACTTGAAGTTGGAGGGAAGATGGGAACTGTCTTTCAGGACTCTGTAAATCCTTATAAGGAGTTTTGATTTCATCCTCTGTACAGCAAATAGTTAGTTTTTCATGGTTTTTGATTTATAAGGAATGGAAATTTTGATACATATTTAAGGCAGATTTTGTACTTTGAATGTGGAAGAACAAAGGAAGATGCAGAACATGTTAGTTGCTTTATTGTAGTAGTAGTTCACAAGATTGTAGGGAAAGGGATAATTTGAAGGCACATTTTGTTCCTAAGTTTAATAGGACTCTAGTGGATTTAATCTGACACTGAAAGAAGTAAAGCATCAAGAATGGCTGGAGAAGCATGTAGAGAGAAGAGAAAACATGGGCAGCATTAACAGATTTTGGAAATAATTAAAGATGTGCTCTTTGATGAGCAATCAAAATGCAGATGTTAAGCCGTTTGATATGCAGGGTGTAGAGTGCAAGGGGAGGCCTGGAATATAGGCAAACCTTTTGGAGTTGTTATTTTGTAGAATTAAAAGAAACTGATGAAGTTAGATATGTACAAGGAGACATACAGAAAGGAGAGGACTCACTACTGACTCTTCAGGAGTAATAGAGTTAGTAAGAGGAGAAGAAGAACCCAGTAAAGAAGACATCTGAGAAGGGAAACATGAGTAAGGCAGAAGACTGGCAATACCAGTGCCACTGTGACATCAATAAAGCCAGGTGTAGCCAATACTACTATGGGGACAAGTTACTTGACATATATGGGTTGCTTTGGTGACCTTAATAAAAGTGATATGGGGGAAGTCTAGGGAGAAGTAGTCTAGGGGAAGTCTATGAGGAAGCAGGCAAGAGCCATATGGCAATCAGTGCTCAGAGAAATTGTTGTTGGTTTGACTTAGGAAAATTTTTGGCACTAATCACTGATAAATTTTTTAAGCTATGAGTAATTATCTGTTTTGGTTTCAGGAAAAATAACAACCCTGCACTGCAAAGCAGACAACATTAGGCAGCAGTGTGTAACATTTCTTCATTATGTTAAAGTTTTCATCTTCAGGTAGGATGTCAGAAGAGATTTGCTTACTGCATGAATTTTTAATACATATTCATCCAGACTCCAGTTTAATTGAATCTCATTGTTGTTTTTAGATACCTGAAAGTGCAAAATGCTGGGAGTTATATGCCTGTCCATCCTTATGAGACTTTGGAGGCTCAGCTTCCCTCAGTTTTGGTTGATGAACTTCATGGATTACTGTTGTATATTGGACATCTATTTGAACTTCCCAGTACTAATCCAGGAGCATTTGTAAATCAAAATGAGATTAAGGTTTGACTTGTTTCATTTAATTTTTAAATTATTAGCATTTTCTTCCAAGGAGTATTCAGTCAAACATAGGGGTAAGTCAATTCTGGACACAACTTGAAATTCTGGCTCCTCCTTTTATTATTTGCCATTCTGCAGTTAACACCTATTGCCTCAGTCTTCCCATCTGTACTGTCTATTGAGTTTTAGAATTGAGTAAAGTAAAAAGCATAAATCCCTTACATACCCTTAGTTAATAATGCTGTACTTAGTTCCATCTTGTAACAGTACAAATAATTTTTTAAAATGCATTTCATTTTATGACAATATTGAAGAAAATCATCTTATAAAAGTTAGAATTTCAAAAACATATCTTTATATCTGTTTTAAATTTTGAGATCTTTCTGTAATATGTTTATAATTATTTTCTAACTATGCCCTTTTTGTTCTACCTTTGATCATACTCCCTCTGAAGTATGGTTTTTAGATATTTGTATTGTTAGCATTAATTGATTTGTTGTTATAATTAACACAGATTCTCCATAGGAAAATGTGATCTTAAATGAATGACACATTTTAACTCCTCATAGAATTCCTTGAATGCTCAACCTCTTCTATTTGACTTTACTAATTTGAATAACAGTTTACTTTTGAGGAACATGTAAGATACAATTGAACATTTATATTTTTATGTGAAATACATAAATTTAACAAAAACAAAACCCCAAAAAGCCAGATACTTAATATCAGGAATCAGTATCTATAATAATAATGATACTAGAAATTTGATGGTGAGTTTGCTGTGGTATATATATGTATATACCAAAGTAGAATCTTTATTCCCAAAATTAATGTAGTATTGTAAACCAACAGTGAATCATTAAGAATTTTATTTTAAAAATTTAAGGAGTATAGTTCCATATTATCTGTATATTTACAGATAATATGGTTAACTCAAAAACAAATATTGATTATTTTCATTTGTTCCATTTAATGAAGACTCATAGGTATACTGTGGAGAGGGATACTTTTACTTATTTCTTGTCTCTATAAATTGGACAGTTTATATTTTCTGGGCTTCTAGCAAGTGCCTAAGAAAAGAAAAATTACTTATCTAGCAGCAGTAATTAGAATAGGTCAAGGGTCCTGAAGCTTTGCTATCCAAGGGCTATTTCATAGGAAGACCTGGAAAGATAACTTATTGACAATCAAAAAACTGATTTTTTAAACTAGGGGGATGTAGTCTCTAACTTATACACAAAAAAGTAATACAGTAAAATGCTGTTGCATTTCAGAAACAGCAGCAAAAATAATCTTATAAAAAGGTTTTTTTCCAAAACTTATGTTAAATATGAATGTTAAGTATGAAACCAATGTTTAACCAGTATTAATTGTGAAAAATAACTGCTATTTCTTGTCTATTTTACTATTTTTTAGTAACTTAAAATTTTTTAAATATTAAAATTAATACTAAAAAGATAATCATTTCCCATAATGAACTGACTTGCTAAGAAAATTAAGTATTTTTGTTATGTGTAATGTATTTCTATTTGTATCATCCTTAGGCTGTTGTTAAAAAAACTCATTTTTTAATACATTTATCTTTTAAATTCTTCTCTTTAAAAAATATGCAATGCAGTCAGAAATCAAATTGCAGTTTCTTGCAAATGAGTGACCCATACTTTCCCCACTGATTTATGATATCACATTTATCCATTTTTTCCCGCCTTCTTGTTTATTATCTATTTCTGAAACAACAGTTTATTAGTGTAGCATTTTGTTTTGTTTATATGTGAGAAGGCAGGCCCCTCTTTATAATTCTTCCTACTTGTCTTAAAAGAACATGAGTGTTGTATTTACTTTTATAATGATACTAAATATTGACTAGAGGAAGATTGTTGATAACCTTGTACAGCATAATAGTTTGGCTTTTGAATCAGATAGGGTTGAGTTCTAGTATATGAATTGGGAAGTAAATATATCACTTTTAATTTCAGTTTCATAGTAAGCATGGTAGTCTAAAGTTTTCTTGCTAAAATAATTTTATAGGCATTCCTGGATGTATACTACATTTAAAAATATTTCCTAAAGTCTAAAACAAAATGTTAAAAATCAATGTTTTAAAAATTCTTTTACTTCCTTGTATCTGTAGTGGTATGAGCTATTAGTTGAAAGGGACCTTTACTATTCTGTAGAAGTCTCTTGGCAGTCCCAGAATGGGTCTTTCTTAAAACATCATATGACAATATACCCTGCTCTCAGATCTCCAGTGAAATCCTCTAATGAACAAGACAAAGGATTTTCCTGAGCTTTTGAATAGTGGTAGGTTAATTGGTTCTTTATCCTGTGCATATGGAGGATTGTTGAAACATGCTCTAAAATACCTAGTATTGTGAATTCTCAGTTACACTTGACAATGTCATTTACAGCTTTTCCCACCATCGTGGCATTTATTACATCTGCATTTAGATATCCATTGGCTTGTACTGGAAATTCTTCACATGCTGGGTGAAAAATTGAGTAAGTTTTTAAATTTCTGATTTCTGTTTTTTTAATTTAAACTTTTAAAAATTGCACATTGATAAGTGCATTTTGATTTTTAAAAGTCAAATAGTAACCAGTCTAAAAAATGAAAGTCTTTTATCTTTTTCCAGAGATAACTACTGAGAACAGTTTTGTTTGTTTACATTTTCATATTTGTGTGTGTGTGTGTGTGTGTGTGTGTAAATACCTAGCCAGGATTTCCGTTTTTTGTCTAACCACAAATAGCATCATATTGCTTTAAATAATGTTTCATTTAATAGTTTTTTAGAAACCTATTCTATTGGTTAATATAGTTATTGAGTTTTCCCAGTTTATGTGCGCTAACCATACACTCTTGATGGTGGTGTATGTTACCACTTGCTTTTCCTTTTTACCAACTATCATGAGAAAAGATAAAGGATCTATTTTATTTTGCAATTTCCTGATTACCAGAATAGTTCAACATCTTTATATAATTTTATTGTTTATAGTTGCCTTATTAATTACCTACTCTTCTGTTATTTCTATTTTAAAGGTAATTAGTTGATAAATATTATGGATAGTAATTTATTTCACGTGTTGCCTATTTCTTGGCCTTGCTTTATGGCATCTCTAGGTTCCATGATCAATTTAGCAATATCCTACACATGTTATTTAAGGGTAAGTTGTTAATTTTGATTGTGAAGGCATCCATTACCTCAACACTTGCTTTTCAGTATTACTAAGTAAATATCTGTGTGTGCACTTAAATATATACACAAATATACAAAATTGGGCCCTCCCTTGTGGTGCAGCGGGTTAAAGCACAACACTAAGAACCTAAAGCCACTTCAGCATGAGTTCGATCCCTGTCCCAGAAGTGACCCACATGGTACAGCAGACCTTTCCTCACCCACCCACTGCTCCCCTAAGCAGTGTACTTGTCAGTTGGCCTGTTTTGCTCCCACTCTGCCTCTGGTGAGTCCTCTCACAGCCCCTGCATCTCTGGCCTATACCCCAGGTCTGTATGCATAAACAAATCATATATACACATACACACACTCACAAATATACAAAAAATGTAATCTCCTCTCTCATGTGGACTCTGTATTCCATATAATATCTCCTTAAAGCAGTACTTAGTGGGTTTAGTCTGATACAGACTCAAATTTTGGTATCTGATATATTGATTTGTTCTATTTTATGCCATGAAGCTATTACATGTAGTCAAGTTTATTAGTATTTGTTTAAAGGTTAATATTTTTGAAGGCTTAATTGTCTGGACATAATGGGTGAAGATTTTCTAGTGTTTTTCTTTTTTTAGTTTTTAATTTTATTTAACTCATGTTGCATTGTAGCTTTTCAAAGATAGCCATGCTAAGAAAGGAGAAATACAGTAAATGGTATGTAGAAGGACTAAAAACTGTTTTAAATTAATATTTATCAGTATTCACATAAGAAAGAAATTGTCCTCAAACTTTTGTTTGCCAAATAGGTTTTAACTATAGGTGTTACTATTGTAAGTTAAAACCATATAGTCAGTTTCCTCCTGAGTAAGTAAAATCTACCTCATTAAAAATAGAATTTATTCTTCTTGTAGAACAAGTCGTATATGGTCATCAGTTTATGAATCTGGCAAGTGACAATTTGACCAGTATCAGTCTATTTGAAGAACATTGTGAAAATCTCCTTTATGATTTAATAAGCCTATCACTCAACAGGTATGACAAGGTAATGCTTTAAGACATTATTTGTAGTTTTGATACTTCATAAAAGTAGTCACTTTTCAATGTGTATGGTTTTAATATATAAGAATTTAATTTAATGAATATCATACAATATTTACCTTTTTGTGTCTGGCTTCCTTTCCTCAAATATTTTTAAGAGTCATCCTTGTATCATACCAAAAAGTTTATTTTTTTTTATCACTGAGTATTATTCTATTATATAGATATGCCACAATTTGTTTATTCATTCACATGTTGATTATTGGATAATTTCTAGGTTTTGGCTGTAAAAACAAAACTGCTGAAAAAACATTTGTGAGCAAAAATTACTTAAAAATGGTTTGCTTGTGAATTCTCTTAATTTCATGTTTACTGTTATCTGTGAGGTGAATAAAAAAAGAAATAGAGACTGGAATTAGTAGTAAGGGTTTTTGTTTGTTTGTTTGTTTGTTTGTTTTTTTAAAGGAATGTCCTTTTCCATATAGTTAAAAATACACTGTATTTTTCATAATAACTGTAAATTTAACATCAGTTTAAATATGAGAGGAAAGCCCTCTTTTGTGTTGTTACATAGTAAATTAATACTTAACTGATGTTAGTTCACAAATTTAAATGGAGGTTGTGTTTGCCTCGTTTCATAAAAAGTTTAGAATTTGGGGAGAAATTACATGTCTTTATTAAATTGTGTTCATGCAGTTTGATGCAGGCAATAATTTAAAAGTCTTATAGAATGTGTTTGTTTTCAGACAGTGGAAATTTGTAAATTGTTATTTATTTTGCATTACAAACTTAAATCTTAACATTGGGAAATTAGGATATATAATTTATTTAAATTTAAACAGTTTTATGTATTATCAGCATCCTAAATTTAGTCATATGTTTACAATTAATGTAATTAGTGGATTAACCAAGTATATGTACTGCTTTAATATTTATATTTTACTGAGTATGATATAAAAAAATGGGTATAAATATATGTGAAACAATTAGATAATACATTATGAATTTAAGAAGTTAGCTCTATGATATGTACTCTGTTGACGGCTAATGAAGATGTATATGTTACAAAAAATGATAAACTTAATCTTTATAAATCCCTAATAATAGATGTGTATGTTACAAGAAATGATAAAATTTCTTAATCTTTATAAATCCCTAATAATTATGTCCATAACCTAACTCATAAAAAATGCATGTCTGCTTTAAAAGTGAATCAAAATTAATTTTCCAATTTTTTAATGGAACTCTTTATTGTAAAGGTGAGGAAACTATGGCTATAAAATTAAATCAAATAGTTAAATAAAATAACATTTTATATATTTTATAAATAAATAACACTGCTGCATTTTTTTTTCTCTGTTGCTTATGGCTGATGTAGTTCAATGACAGAGTTGAATAAATAATCATAACATATATATTTCTATTAAATTACCATGTTTTCTATGTAGCCCTCTATAGGAAGTGTTGGTTATTTGACTAGTTGGCTAAGGCAGAGGTATTTTTTAGAAATAATATTCATTTAGTAGTTCATTTTAAAATGAATTATTATGTTTTGATAAAAATGGAACTTTTTAGAAACAATTTTATGTAATTGCATATAAATTTAAAGTCATCTAGTATTCATTTTTTTTAAAATATAAGAGGAGATAGGTGGCAAGTATAATTCCTATCTCATAGAACTCACTCGTCTTGGTTCTTTTCTATAGGTTAGGCCACCTGAAGCATTAAGGAGTCACCACTGCCCATGTACATGTATAAAAGAATTATGGGTTCTACTCATTTATCTTCTTGATCACAGAAGTAAATGGTCTCTCTCAGAAGTAAGTTGTAAAATTGATGTTAATTATTTGTACTAACTTTTGTATTGAATTTATCCACTTGTTTTGGCCAAGAAAAATTCTTACAGATGTCCTTCTCTTTAAGATGATCGTCATCAACAGAGCTGTTAATTGAGTTCTTACTATGCATTATTTTTTTTAAACTGTAAATTAATAATATGAAACAGCTAAAAGGAGAGCAAGGTTTTGCTCTTTTTCTCAGATTCAAGTTTCTCAAGTTACTTTTTCTGTTAAGAAACTTGGAAGCTAAAATATTTGATAGTTTGGTAATCTAGGAAATATTTTAATAGGAACTGTAGCAGATTTCAGTTTGGGAAACTAAAACATAGGTTTCTATTTATTTCATGATATCTTTTTTGAAGGAAGATGAAGAAAAAGCATGAAGAGCAATATGGGAAATTTCATTTCATTTTGAGCCAGATCTTTATTTTATTTCAAGTGTTAATGGAAAAAGATTTGGGGCCCTCCCTGGTGGCGCAGTAGATTAATGTGCAGCACTGTAAGTCAGCTGCAGACCCCTTCAGTGTGAGTTCAATCCTCAGCCCTCTAGGTGACCCACATGGCGCAGCGAACCTCTCCTGACCCACCCTCAGCAGTATACTTCGTCAATCTGCTTGTTCCGCTCCCCATCTGTCTCTGGTGAATCCTTTTACCACCCTGGCACCTCTGACTTGCATCCCAGGTCTGTATGCATAAAAAAAAGAAAAAGATTTGGGATTTGGTTTCTGCCATCTACATTTTTTTTTTTTTTTTTTTTTTTAAGATTTATTTGTGTGTTCGTACAGAACTGGGTACAGGCCAGAGATGCAGAGGGTGAGAGGATTCACCAGAGACAGAGTGGGGAGCAGAACAGGCAGCTCGACGAAGTACACTGCTGAAGGGAGCAGCTGACGGGTCAGGAGAGGTCTACCTCCCCAAGTGGATCTCCTCCAGGGCAGGTGGGGATCGAACTCATGCGGAAGTGGCTTAAGCTTCTTTGTGCTGTGCTTTAACCCGCTGTGCCATCAAGGAGGGCCCTCTGCCATCTACTTTTAATGATGGCTGTATTTTTGCTGGTTTACAAGCGCTGAACTTATTTCATCAGTAAATTTGCAAAGTACAAATAAACCAAAGCAAGCTATTAGGTATAAATTTAATTTATTTTTAATATTTTTTGTCTGACTTTTTGGTTTGTCAATAGTATTCCACTTTTTACAATGAAATTTAATTGGTAGAGAGACTCACCAAATTTTTTCCTGTTTGCTATGTTGTTTTATTATATTGACACAACAAACACATCAACTTTCCATATTCTGAAAAATATTTCTCTTTCATTTAAGACCATTTATGTTTTTAAAGAATTTTTCTTGCTTTATATATTTCAGGCTTGAAGGTATAAACCCACATACAGCTAATTTAGGCATGTTCATACTTGATGCCATTAGTCTTTTTCTAGATTTTAAGCAGGAAAAATATGCATAATGTAAAATATTACACTGTCGAAATTTGTATAGCAATATATATATCCAAGTGATTTGTAGGCTCTTCATTTTATGACTTATTTTAAATAATGAGCATTTGAGGTGATTATATTTTAAAAATTTTTTCAGTGAATTTGTATTATTACAAGCTTGCTTTTTTTATTAATAATTAAGTTTATTTTTACATCATTTTATGTACTTTTCCATTTCAGTTGTAATCCCCCATCTCAGTTGTAATCCCCTTTGGAGTAACTGTATTTTTTTAATGCAACTAAAATAAGTGATGTTATTCACAGATTTTGAAGGCTGCTTTAGTTTAAAAGTTGAATTAGTAGTTTCCATTCCTGACAGTAAGACAGTTTTAATTTTTTGATAAAAATTTTATCTAATCTAACCATACGGGGTTATCATAGAATGAATACCTTAAGCATGTCTATGAGCCTGTAGAAAATAAAGAGTACTGAGGCTAACTACTAAATGTAGATGCGAACTGAATTAAGCTGAATATTGAAGTTGCCATATAACTTCAGAGACAGTTGCTGATTTGAATAAATTTGACCATTAACTTTTTTTTACACATTTTACAGACATACATACGTGCACACATACATACCTCCATAAAAGGTAAAGCTAACGTGAGTTCAAGTTGCATAGACTATGTATTGTAAAGATTTAATACAAAAGAACTCTATAAAGAGATACAAATGTTAGATTCTTGTTAGATTTTAACTTTACAGTTTTATTTATAAATTAGCAATTTTAAATTTATAGTTCTAGGATAGAGCAAATAAGCAAATAATATTGCAGGCAGTTAGAACCAACTTTGTCACCATGGAAAATTGCATTGCAACATCTGAAAAAGGGAAATCTAGGGTGTTGAATTAGAATCTGGTATATCAGTATAAAATATGTTTCTAATAATTAGAACTAGATATAGATGTATGTATACATTTCCTATTTTATCCACTAGGTGGGTCTAGAAGTGATATTTGAGTTACAATAAGCCAACTGCAAATATGTCTTGGTTTTGAAATAACTGTATAAATGGAGTCTATGGAGGAAAACAAAACAGTGCTATATAACTGACATTCAGATTCATACCCAAGAAAACATTCCAGAGGTTAAAAAAAAAAAAAATGAAACTATGTACTAAAACATATTAATGAATAACTATATAGATTAACCTCAAATAAAAAAAAAAGATTGCCAAAATTGCCCACTTTTTTAAATGATTACAAAAAGGAATACAAATACTGGGGGTAAAGGAACATAAATTCAGATTCTACAAGTATTAAAAATAGTTGAGATATTTTTAACAACTTTACTCCTGTTAACTTGAATGTTTATATTAAATGGACAACAGTGTCGGAAAAAATCTTAACTAAAATTCTTCAGGTGTTCAACAATACTGAATTAAGTAAATGGTTTAGAATATAGTAATACATTGGGAAACTCTAATGAACTGTGGATATTCTTATTAGCGTGAGAGATTCTAAAAACCTAATGTTGAGCAAAAGAAGCAGGTTACCAAAGGATACAAACAAGCTACATGCATTTTTAAAAAACCACGTGAAAGGGAGTCAAATAATATATGATGTTGTAAAGCTTACAAAATCAAAGGAAAGGCGCATTCTGAAATTCAGGGTAATGACTACCCTGATGGGAGAAGATGATGTGTTTGTGGAACCATATAGGGGCTTCATAAAATCGTAGTTATTTTCTAATTTTTATTACACTTTAAGTTTTATGTATATGTTTTAAATTCTTTTTTATGTATATATGATCTTAACAATGGAGGAAAAGCCTAAATCAAAGATTATTAGATCAATGTCTTCACTGAATTGAATTATATTCTGTTTCTATAGTCATTTTGGAACTGGTTGAATAAACTACTTAAAACACCCTTTGAAAAGTCGTGTGACCGAAGAAGTTCTTCTGTGACTGTAATCCACCCTAGAGATCCACTAGGTTTTAGTTGGTGGATTATTACTCATGTAGCTTCATTTTACCAGTTTGATCGCCATGGAGCACCAGATAATATGGTAAGATTTTATTTTATTTAAGCTTTTTTACATTACCTATAAATATCTTAAATAACAAATTAGAAAGTAAATGCACAGATAATCAGATCATAATCCTGCAAAGAATAATTTAGTTTCTGAAGCTAGAAGATATTCTGTAAATTTCAAAAAATTATTTTTTTATTGTTTGTTTAAGGAAAAGCAACTCAGAAGACTTGGGATCTAGGCCTGACTTTGCTACTAAAGTGTTGTGTGACCTTTAGTATATTACTTTAAGCCTTTCTGGGCTTCTTGTTTCCTCGCCCAAAAATCATGGAGTTGGATGCTTCAGAAAATTTCTTCTAGTTCTAAAATCTTTAAGATTGCCAAAGGGAAAACATATCTTTAGGAATGAATTAGTAGTCTCTGTCAGTAATTTGATAAAATTAGAGGCTCCCCACAAGGTATTTTCTTAAATTTGTTAAATAAAATGAAGTTTATTTCAGATAGAGATTTTTAACTCATATATAATTTCTGATTAAAAATATTTTTTACACTATTATTTAGAAAGCTTTATGAATAAAACCAGCTAGTAGATTTATTTAGTTGAAGCCTATTTGTATACAATTTCTTTCACATTTAGAAATGAATTATACACTATTATTCTGTGAGGCCATCAGTTCCACAAAATTAGCATCAAAGGTCCTCCCTGGTGGCACAGGGGTTAAAGTCTCAGTGCTATCAAGATATTACCAGCCACTGTGGCATGAGTTCTATCCCCAGCCAAGGAGCTGACCCACATGGCACAGCAGTCCTCTTGCTAGTCTGCTGTTCCTTTCAGTAGTACATTTTAGTAGATCTGCCTGTTCTGCTTCCCACTCTTTTTCTGGTGAATCCTCTCACTCCCTGCACCTCTGGCCTATACCTAGTTCTTAAACACATAAATAGATACTTAAAAAAAATTAAGCATCAGAATCTTAAAGTCATTGTCTCTCTCTCCAGAATTCATCTTGGGACTGTTTCCCAAACCTGGTTGATTACACCAGATTTCTAGGTCTCAACTCTGAAATCTTGATTTAGTAATCTGATTTAGAGTTTGAGAATCCTTATTTTTAAAAAGTTCCTTGCTTGTCATCCTTTATCAGGTATGGGAACTATTCCTTTATGAAATTTATTCCATGATGAACTTGACAGATTTCTCCTCTCTTTGGAATATTGGACACAGCTCAGAAATCATCCATGGACTCTGAAGGTCAGTTAGTATTGATGCAGTGTAATAGAAATGGAAAGGGCCTCAAGACATGCTCTAACCATCCCTATATCAGCAAAAGGCCTTTTAGTAGACTCCCAAGTCAAGTAAATTTTTAAGTCAGAAAATGTTCTCAGAAGTTCACAAACAACTCAGTATTCATCAGTTAATTATACTAGGAATTTATTGAAAGATGTCAATAAAGTGAGCTTCTCAAAAAGAATAATCATGTATCCTTTGTTTCTCTATGTCAGTCTTTGCCATGCTTTATGTATAGTAAATACTCAAAAATGTTAGATATTATTATCACTCAGCCCTTTCATATAATATTTTTGTGGTTAAAATGTTCCTGTTTCACTTCTTTTAATTAGAATGCTAGTACAACATTGAAAGAGTATAAAAAATGTACCTATAATTTTAAAATCTTTATTTTCCTTTCCTTATAACCTAACTCCTTTCTGGGCTTATTTCTGCTTCTAATTAATGGAAATTAATAGATAATTGGTTAAGCAGTTTTGAGTATCTGTTGAGTGACTGTCATAAAAATGGGTGCAGATGATAGGTTGTATAAGAAACAGATTATACTATCTCTTGCTGTAAGAAACAGGTTTTCAGGTCATTAAAGCTTGCTGGAACTGTATTGGTTATTTGATGAATGGGCAGGATGTTTTAATACTGTTTGATATTGACTATCAGATATTTCCAGTATGGTAGGTTATCTCCTCACATTAATATAAAAAATATCATTGCATTTACTATTGTAATATTGAGTTGTACTGATATATTCTTCAGTTGCTGAGTTGCTGAGTTCTACTTCATACAGAGAACTCCATTGGAGATTATTGCTTTTATTGACTCAAAATCAAGATAGTAAATGAATTGTCTGTATTTAAAATAGTTTAATATATGTTTTTAAATATTTGTCAGCAGTTTTTGTGTGATTTTTTTTTTGCCACAATAAATATATCTTTAAAAATGATTCTGTAGAATTTGTAGAAATTTTAAAAGGAATTCATATGATAAAAATAATAAAGATATGTAATGTATATTTGTATCTTAAAATGAACTTAGCTTTATTTACATGTTCTCATAGAGTTTCAAATGTTTCTGGACTTTTTAATATTAAAAAAACTCAAACTCTTCAATTAGTGATAATTTTCATTAGGGTTAATACCTTAAGCATATTGCATTTGCAAAGTGCTTATTATTTCACAGAGACTATTCAGTTTTTATCTCAGTATGTTGTCAATGAATTCCATGAGGGTTATATTGTATCCAGGTAAAGAAACTGAAGTTACACAGTTTCAGGTAAAGAAACTGAAGTACACAGTTGTAATGTGTTTTTATTACTTAGATAAAGTTGATAATCAGCTTTCTCCTAAGGATTGCCTTTTATGACTAGATCTTTGGTAGGGTAACCATGAGTACCACTTTGCTATGGACAGTACTAGTTTATATTCATTTCCCCTTTATCCTGTCATGTCAGTTTTCTCATCTACTCACAATAGTATCTCAATTTGGTTTGTAAATCATATAGTTATTCTAATTGGTGAACATTAAGGCATAATTTATCCTTTCTGAGTGCTTATATACGATGTTAATTTGGGTCTGAGATGTATTTAGATCAGAATTTTCAAAATTACTGGAATTCATTTTTTCTGCCTTTCAGAACAGCCATAGAGAAAATGGTTATGCGTTAAGAGTACTTTATTCCATTAAAGAGTAATCTGGTGTGAGAGAATGATATGAAATAATAATGGTTAGTCATATGTTCAGAAGCAAAGAAATACTTGCCAGCTTGTGATAACCACAGAGATGTATCAGTTTTTAAATGTGAACTGCATTGCCCTGAAGGTTAATGTGAAATCTTTACATTTTAAATAGGTTTTAGATATGGTTAATATTTTTTTTTAAGTTTCTGTAGATTGGACTTGTGCTATATGTGAATTTAAATCACAGAACTTGCCAATTTCTTAATATAGACCTGTAAGGGTAATTTGATTCCTCATTTCTCATTTTGAGACTTCAGATTTTCATATATTTTTGTATAATGCTTATCTCTCACCGAAGATGAAAGTATGTTGTCTTCTTGCAATCCCAGTTATCTGTTTTAAAAGCAAATATAGTTCAAAGAGGAAAATTACTTTTGAGCATTTAACAGTACTTTTCCTGTCCAGAACATATTGTAATCAGTCAGGCTACCTGATGCTTATCTTAGAAATGTCTGAATGGTGAATGGATAAAAGGTACAAAATGTAGCATTAAAATGAGAGTTCTACCAGATTATCTAGTCTGCTGGAAGTGGAGTTTGAAGAATCTATTTTATATTGCACTTGAAGATAATACCTATGGCTGATATTTAAGTAGGTATCTTAGTTTTCACTAAGAAATATGAAGCATAGCCCCAAATTGATAATTTCTTACCTCCCCTCTATAAGTGGAAGTAAGCTATGTATAATCTAATATACAGAAAAAAAAAAAAAAAGCTACAGATGCTCAGGCCCTCCCTGGTGGCACTGCAGGTTAAAGCACAGCACTAAAAAGCTAAAGCCACTTCAGCGTGAGTTTGATCCCTGCCCGGGAGGTGATCCACATGACATGGCAGACCTTTCCTAGCCTGCCCTCTGCTCCCCTCAGCAGTGTACTTCGTTAGTTGTCCTGTTCTGCTCCCCACTCTGTCTCTGATGAACCCTCTCACCGCCCCTGCACCTCTGGCCTTTACACCAGTTCTCAATGCATAAATAAATCTTTCAAAAAAAAAAAATGCTACAGATTCTCAAAGCTCAATATGAAGGAAAGAAAACAACCTATATTCCTTTGGTGCTCTTATTCAAACTTGATTTTGGAAAAATAGTTATCTTTCTTTCCTCTGAATAATGGTTATTTTTGTTTTTGCTGATAGTCACAATACTTAACCCATAGGGTTGAAATTCTTTAGACAAGAATTGTGCTACTACTTTATAATTCATGTGGTTCAAATGCCTTGCTATAACAAAACAGTTGAAATATTCTCATTAACAATATCAAATTATAAAGTTACATTTATCAACTCTGTCATACCCCTGCTTATTTGATAAGAACACTAGGCATTCTTAGTGACACTAGAATTTTCACTAGTGGTAACATTTTCTTAGTAAAGAATTATATAAAACTGAATTGTTGAAAGCTGAGGGAAGGCTTATTAAGAAAGCAAAACACAGTTACTGATAGTTTTGAATTGGAGCAGTTGTAAATTTTTTCCTAACCAGGTTTGTCAACTAACTGTTAAAGTAAAAGTACACACTCAAGGACCCTCCCTGGTGGCACAGCGGGTTGAAAGCACACCACAAAGAAGCTTAAGCCACTTCAGCATGAGTTCGATCCCCGCCTGCCCCAGAGGAGATCCACATGGCCTGGCAGACCTCTCCTGACCCGCCCGCTGCTCCCCTCAGCAGTGTACTTCGTCGATCTGCCTGTTGTGCTCCCCACTCTGTCTCTGGTGAATCTTCTTACCCTCCGCATCTCTGGCCTGTACCCCAGTTCTGTATGAATAAATAAATAAATCTTTAAAAAAAAAAAGTACACAGGCAAAACATTTTAATGATGTCTGATGATGGAGAAAATATTCATACTTCACATTTAACTTGCTGTACCATAATTTTAAGATATACATAATTAAGGGCAGTAATTTTGATACAATATTTTCTCCTTTCCTAGAGACATATGGAGTCAAACTGGAACTTTGTAGAAGAACTATTGAAAAAGTCTGTCAATATTCAGGTATATATTTAAAATGAGATGATTTGTGAGCTTTGCTATATTTGTATCTTACAAATTTTATTTATTTATTACAACCAAACAGTTAAATCATTGAAGTATCAAACTTAGCTTGCTTATTAAAAATCTTAAGTTATCATCATTCTTAGTTAATAAAGGTTCACTGTTCTTATTAGTGACTATCCTTTGAAGATACTTATTTCTAATACTTTGAGTTGTCAGTTAAAGGACAAAGATTATTATCCTAGTTGGTGACTTTGACAAATATATTCCAAGTAAGTAGTAGATGCTTTGGAATTATAAGCCATTCCTTGACTGTGGGATATCAAGTTTAGGAGACACAATGAGGAAGATAGTCAGCGGCATTGGAAATTCAGCTATATCCTCATCACAGCAGGAAGGTGACTTGCCTTGCTGAGCAATTTGTCTTACAGGCTTGAATCATACGCTAACTGATAAGGTCCTGGTTTCTGAGCACTCATTTCATACCTTATCATTTTTCTTTCTGCAGAGCTGTTAATGTAGTGCTTCATGGCCCAGAGGTCAGATCTGACCTCCTTTTAAAGTAGTTTGAGATGTGCTGTTCATCACATCTTTAAACATGTATTGTAGTTCTGTAAAGTTTTGTGATTTAAGTTATTTATGTTAGAGTTTAAGGGAAGAGTTTAAAGGGTATTTTTTAATTTGAGAAATAGACTACTTTTCTGTTAGGAAATGATAACTTGAAAAGGAATTTTAAAATATGGTAGTTTGAGATACGAATGTATGTACATATGTGTATATATACACATGTATGTATATATACTCAAATTTATGCATATGCATAATATAATATATACATGTATATGCAATTATACTCATATTTTGTACCCATAGCTTTGAAAACTATTTAATTATAGTATGACTCTCCTAATAATGAACTAAGAATTTTAAGTTAGAATGCCAAAGAGCTCTACATATATATTATATTTTAATTGTTTTGGAATCAAAAGAGCTATTCCAACTACTGTATAAGTTTTTTTTTTTTTTTTTCTTGTATCATTTTGGTTGGTCTCTCTTTCTTTTGGGGACCATATTGATTTAGAAGCTCAGAAGTTTCTTGCATGTACTGTTCACTTTCAAGAATAAAGTCCTTGTTAAAAATGAAAAAAGCAACTACGCTGCCCACCTGTGACTTTGCAGGGGCCTTTCTTTCTACTCTTCCTGATAAACTTGTCCTTTTAAGATGTGTAGGAGGAGTGGAGAATATGATCCTGGTTTCAGAGCAGTCATTTCATACCTTACCATTTTTCTTTCTGCAAAGTTGTTAATACAGTGCTTCATGGCTAAGAGATAAAATGTTTACATCTGTAAAGGCAATTAGCTAATGATATTTTAAACTTTATTTCTAACAGTGTGTGAATATATGCTGTTATTCTCCTAGAGTTTAAATTATAGAGTATTTCTCAAGAGTTTCCAAAGTTTCATAAGGATCTATATATAAAAATGTAATGTAATGTAATATATAATATAATATAATAATATAATATAATATAATAATATAATATAATATAATATAATATAATATAATTGATATGATATAATATAATATAATGTAATGTAATGTAATATAATATAATATAATTAATATGATATAATATAATATGATATAATATAACATAACATAACATAACATAACATAACATAACATAACATAACATAACATAACATAACATAATATATACGTGTGTGTGTGACAATTCCCCAAATTGTCAGGGACAAATAGGAAAAAGACCTGTCATCATTTCTATCCCATAGAAAACTTTGCTTTTTTGACTAAGATTTAAAAACCTCTTTAAACACTTCTAGTTATTTGAAAATTCATACTTACTTTAGATTTTGACTACATATACTTTTGATTTTAAATACAGGGATACTCATTTACTGAAAAAACTTGTGTTCATTGGAATGTTTTTCACATAATGTCATAAAACTTACGCTAGCATTGCATAGTATGCTTTTCCAATATGCTAATGTTATAATGGTGTTGGGAAAACTGTCCTGGTTTGTCTGGTTTGGGTTTTCCCAAGATTTTGGTGCTAAAACAAATTCCTAAGCAATCTGGGTTGAGTCATTCATCCTAAAAGTGGGAATAATACAACTAATTTCTGAAGCTCCCTAATTCTGTGGATTTAAGTCTAGTATAAATCAAAATATTATCTTTCTGGTGAGAAAAGAGGTTATTATACTATGTATAAAAAAGTAGTCCAGTCTTGCTAGTAAAGTTTCAATTTTACCATACCTGATTGTATCAAATCAGATTGTGTAAGTAGTACAGGGCTTTGCTGGAGTTTTGAAGCCAATTTTGTTGGTGCAGTAGGTGGTCATAACAAACAAATAATATGTTTGGATAGAGCTATCAATTTGATTATATCTGTTTTCTCCCATTGAGGTAAATTAAAATCTAACCATGCTCATGTGCTTTGACTTCATCTCCCACAGGGAAAGAGTCCATTTACAATATTTTAAAAGAACATGTTCCACATACACAGAGTAGTCTTCTCATAAAAATGGTATGGTAGGTACTTTAGTGTAGTTTTAATTAAGCACAAAAAGTTTCAAATCTTATTCAGAGAAGAGCTTCTAAAAGCAAACATCTAACTTTCTAGTAAAAAGAACATATCTCCTATTTAGAGAGGTACAATTAAATAATTTAAAAATGAGTTCTAGAAATTAAACTGTTTATCAGTAGAATTTATGAGTGTTATCAGGAAACACTTTTTTCTGCCTATTTTTATATGAAAAGGGAGAGTTTTTGTTATATACTCCATATTTTAGGAAGCCTAATGATTTTCTGAGATCACAGAAGCAATTTTCTAGTAAAATTCATAGAAGGCTAGTCAAAGAAATCCTAAACAAGCTTAACATGTTTTAATATATTTTTATTTATTAAAGAACTTGGAAAGTTCTTTAATAAAACTATTCATAATATGATGAGGTCTGAGTAATATGGACCAATACCTTCTATTATTAAATCAAATCTTTGTGTTTTTGATAGAAGGATCTTTACTGGGAGATTAAAGTCCAACTCTGTACAATCCTAACACTAAAAACAAATCATCCAAACTAAGTTATTTAGCTTGTAGATAAATTTTATTCTTCTGCTGTTTTCTTATAGGTAGATTAGTTATACATAGCTAAATTATTAACAATAGTTTAAATTTGTTGAATTACTATTTTTAAATAATAAGTTAAAATAGTAAATCTTTTTATTTTTAGTTCAGAAAAGTTATTTGAAGTATCTCAAAATGTAATATGCCAAAAGTTGACCTTTCAAAAGTAAAGATAGGAAAACATTATTTTGAAAAGGTCTAAGCATAGATCAAAAGTCAACATTGTGGAATATTCTAAGGTATCTTCCTTCATTAAATAGTTAATATACACTCACACAACTGAGAGAAGACATCTAGAGAGCCTGTAGGGTCTTGTGAAAAATGAAGAATTTGAATAGCATGGACTCTGAGATTGAGCCAAGCAAATTTGACATTATCTAGAAGCCCTTGGGCATTTTCTTGTTTATTAAAATCTTTAATCAGAGAGCATGTGTTTAGATGTCATTAATCAAACCTCATAGTTTAGGGGAAATTTTTACCTTAACACTCATAAAATTGAAATATACCAACTTCATGCATGATGCTATGAGCCTATTGATATTTGATATTCTAACGAATCAGTGTTTGATCTACAAAGGTATATTTCTTTAGGGAAAGGATAGCTATTAGTGGGCACACTATGTATTAGCACTTATTATACATTCGTTCACTTGATGTTTACTCCCTAAGTAACTGGGTGGGACCCAGGGAAGTTAAGGAACATGTCCTGGTTCATATTCATTTGCGTTACGAGCTAGGAAGAGGCAGAGATGGGGTTTGATCTTCTTATATTTTGACTCGCTGTATACTCTCTCTCAAAACATTTGACTTTGTAGGATTCTTAATGAAACTTTTTCCCATTAGTTCTGTTTCTAATTTTAAATAATTATTCTTTGCTGCTGTGTGTTTGACTAGTAATCTGTTTTGGTTCTAATTCTCTTTTGGCTATACCTATAGAAAGCCTCACAGTTTTCCATATGGGCTTTTTAAATTTTTTCCTCTCTCCAAAAAAGTGTGTGATAGAAAAATACAAGACAGGAAGAAATTAATATATTCATGTATTCATAAATATGCCTCCTCACCATATTTCAGCTGTATTTTTTTTTTTTCATTATAAATTTGAGTTAAGGCATATATTGCCTCCCCTACTGCTGACTATTGTGTATCCTCACCTCTTGGTTACCTGGACTTGGAAGATGAACAAATCCTCTTTGTAATATGAACTAGTATGCACATCTACCTTTTTAAAAGGGAATTGTGAAGAAAACATTAAGACATAATCATTTAAAACAAAGCAATATTTGAATATAGAGAGCCTGAAAATATTTTATAAAATGCTATTCTTTATAGCTAGTTAGTCAGAGAAGTATAACAACTTGAACTTGCATTTGCTATCTGAAGTTCATGGAGGGGATGGTTGGAGCTTCCCATCTGTCGTTAAGTGGGTCAGAAGTAAAGGTAACACCTTCGACTGAGTCTGAAGTGTGTGAGGAGAGCAGAGGTTCTCTTATAGGATTAAACCTTTAACCTGTGGAATACGATCCTATTGCTGGGTAGTTAGTGTCAGAATTGAATTGATTTGTAGGACACCAACCTGATGTATAGGAATATGCTTTTATTATATGTGGCAAATCTTCTCTCCACATTAAAAGTTGGTATTAGGACAGCATTTAGCCCATTTCTCCCATTCTCTTAAAAAATATATAGATTCTATTAGTAAATACCATCTCTCTCTTAGTGCTTTTGTCTAATACCATAGAATAGTATCTGGTGTATCATGAGCTGTAAATAGATAATTGTTGAATGACTGGAACTTGGTGATGTATCACATTTTAGCAGACAGACATGGTTATTGTAGCTTATGGAATTAAAGTACTTTTTTCTTACTTCCTTCTCCTATTTCCTAAAAGGTTAGGATCTCTCTATCTATATATACACATGTATGTATAGAAACATTACATACACACACACATACACACATATATACACCATACTAAGTTGTTTTCTAAAACAACTCTTAACAATTCTATAGGAAATTTAACCAAGTACTTCCACTAATATATGACTAAGTCCTCTTTCCATGTGCACATCTTAATTATTAGGTGAATATTACCACTTTTTTCTGCTTTGGGTTTCTTTTCTATGAGTTTCCTATGCCATTGAATTAAGAGACAACTATTGTAATTGATTAAAATCAAATTGAATTATGGAATTTCTATTTTCTGAATAAATTAATGGTTTTCAAAGTGAATGTTTAGAGTATATCTTTACAGATTTTGACTTTCAGGTCTGAAGATAAGAATGGGTATGGTCTTTTGGTACATACTCATATTCTTTTGTGAAGCAGATTATTTGGTGCCATATTCCATGATAATATTTATGTTGCCAGAGCCTCTTCTCTCTTATAACCTCAGTTTGTTTTTTAGGATGGTATACTAGAAGAACAGTTGCGAATGTATCTTCACTGTTGTTTGACACTTTGTGATTTTTGGGAACCAAACATTGCAATTGTCACAACTCTGTGGGAATATTTTAGCAAGAACCTGGTGAGTTGAAGAGTAAACAGAATTTGAACTTTTTTCAAGAATTTGAAGGGTTTGTATATGATAGTCAAAATGTACCAGAAAGTCTCTTTTAAATCTCATTTGTGTTTTCTAACAGTGTTTAATTGTTTGTAACATTGTGAACAAATACTGCTGTCCTGAATAAGAAAGAGTTTTGACACTTTGATAGAAGATGTTATGCTAGTAGGTAGATATACATATTATGAAACGAAAAAGTTTCAGTGGAGAGGAGGGAGTATCTAACCAGTGATGGACTTGTGGAAGAATTTTATGAGGTCATAATTTTTCAACTTGACCTTTGGGAATGAGCGACATTTTCCAAGTACAGGAGTAAAAGAATTCCAGGCAAAAGGGACACTATGGACAAGGTATGGACACAAGAAAAAAATGTGTCTATTCCTACTTTGTTGAATAATTCTGAATAACAGGCCTGAGGTAATGATGTAGAGAAATAGGAGATAAGGAAAGTAGAAAGTAGAGATTTTTAGACTGGGGTATATAATGAAAGGCTGAAGATAACATGCAGTTGGGATATAATTTATTCAGCAGACATTGGAAAGCAAGAATGTGTATTTGAGGAAGTTTTTTCTGAGAGTTTTATAGCTAGAGTACAGATGAGTTAGGAGTCCACTGTAGCCGTATAAGCAAATAATGCTGTGAGTCGGAACTAAAACAGGGACAACAGATAAATTTGGAAAATAAAAATTTTCAGGAAGATTTAAGATATTTAGTTACCTACTGTGTGAATAGAATATGTGGAATGTTTGGGTTTCTGGATAGTGAAGGTTATAATTAAGATAGAAAATGGAAATGAAAGATTTCAAGTCCATTACAAGTCTTGGTTTTACATAATGAAGCATGTTAAAGATAAAAATGCTTCTTTGTCTGAGGCATAATGTTGGGTTGTTTAGAGAAATGAAAACAGCAATGATTGCTAAAACATTCCAAGTATGTTTAAATTACTTTAAATTTCCTTATTCTGTGGGAAAAATTAATGTTCTAAATATTGTAAAGGTAGGAAAATATAAACTGTATGATAGCATAAAGCAAGTTTTTAACAAGCTAATTCAGAAGGAATGATAGGATTCGAAAATCACAATTTTGTACATATAAAATAAGGCCTTTGGACAGTGATCATCAATGACTGCTCAAACTCTTTAAGTAAAATGCTAGTGGGGATCACTCAAATGAAATCAGACTGACAACCTGCTCAATCTTTTTTAAAAGATTTATTTAGTTATGCATATAAGAACTGGGGTACAGACCAGAAGTGCAGGAAGTGAGAGGATTCACCAGAAACAGAATGAGAAGAACAGGAAGATGTACTGAAACACACTGCTGAGGGGAACAGTGGCAAAGTCAGGAGAGGTCTGCTGAGACATGTGGGTCACTTTCCTGGCTGGGATCGAACTTGTGCTACAGTGGCATCAGACAGCTTCATAGTGCTGCACTTTAATCCCTTGTGCCACTGGGAGGCCCCATCTTGCTCAATGTTAACCATCACAAAAAATGAAAGAATTTAGTGCCTCTTAGCTAATTAAAATAACAAGTACCTAATACTACCAGTGAAAAATGCTTTTTTTTTTTTTAAGATTTTATTTATTTGTGCATACAGAACTGGGGTACAAGCCAGAGGCTCAGGGGCGGTGAGAGGCTTCACCAGCGACAGAGCGGGGAACAGAACAGGCAGATCGACGAAGTACACTGCTGAGGGGAGCAGCAGGCGGGTCAGGAGAGGTCTGCCACACCATGTGGTCACCTCCAGGGCAGGCGGAGATTGAACTCATGTTAGATTCTCGTTGCTGTGCTTTAACCCCCTGCGTCACCAGAGAGGGCCCCAGTGAAAAATTCTGACCAGTAACATCCACCTGAATCTTATCAGATACCTGTATTAGATCCTCTAGACACAAGTACCAATTTACAGAGATGGTTAAGGGAAAATATAATACATTAAATGACATCAGGAGATAGAAACAACTAAATCTTGAATGTGCAAAATTCTGTGCAATAGATAACCTGATGTAAAAATAATATGGTATCAAACACTGGGAAACTAATACAGTGTAAGAACACTCTTAAAGAGTCATATCATTTGAAATCAGTGTGTGGAACTTGTTTGTATACACATTTGGACAAGCTAACTGTAAAACATTGTTTTGGACAATTCAGGAATTTAGCCTTTGAGACTGTACTTTTATCGAATTTTTTTGGGGGAAAACATATCAGTATAATTTTTATGATAAAGTAATAAAATATGTAATGAGCTAACTGGGACAGCTTTCCATGATGATTTATTGAAAGGTTTAATAATTGTATTCTATCCTTTTTGTTTTTTAGAATAGTTCTTTCAGTATTTCTTGGCTTCCTTTGAAAGGCCTTGTAAGTATTGTTAAGTCACCCTTGTCTATGATAGAAATGGTGAAGACCTGCTGTTGTGATAAACAAGACCCAGACCTCTATAAGTCCAGCAGTAGTTATACCATTTTCCTCTGCATTTTGGCTAAAGTTGTTAAAAAAGCAACAAAGAACAATGGTCCTCACCCTTGGAAACAAGTCAAAGGCAGGTGTGTGTCATTTTATTTCTGTCTGACTGATATTTTCAAGAAGTGTTAATGTTTTCATGGAAGACTTTTAACTTTATTGCTAAAGGAAATCATTGAAATTGACTCAATAATTAGTCTTAATTATTAGGCAAATACTGTGAAAGTACCAGACACTATGGCAGGCAGGAAGGCAGATATAAAGGTAATTTAAATAGATGTTGATCAGCTCTATTCTTTATAAATTGCCATAAATTATATTGCTTACATTTTTTAAAGTAATATGTTAAAAATAAATTTTTATAATTCTTTATAAATAGTTTTAGAAGTTACAAAACTTTTCAGTCCTTAAGTTGGAGTCAAGATGAATATTTCTCAATTCTAATTCCATAACTGATGAAAGAAAAGTGTATCTATTAAAATACCTTCAGTAGTGTTAATGTTAACAAAAGATTTTTAAATGGCTAGGCTGGGACATACGAACAATAACAAGTTTTTCTTTGTAAGTAGATTAAAATCTTTAGCATCTTGAATTATCTCCAGTGTAAAGAAAACAAGTGCAAGAGTTGTCCTGGGAGAGAAGGCTAAGGAAAAATTGTTATATAAAATTGCCTGGTTAAGATTTTTGTAAAAGAGAGGAAATTGTACTTAAAAATTATGTATTCTTTTTTATTTATCAATAAAAAATAAGAATAGAAAGATGATAGAGGAACTAGAAGAGGAAAAGCTACATACTATATGAAAAGAACATTCCTGCAGTCCTTTGGGGAAAGCCACAGACTCTTGACTTGACTACAGATAATTGGTTGCTTCATTGAGAAATTTGATGATCAGAGTTTTGTCAGTTTGTTTTTCTAAGTACAGAAAGCACTGGCAGCATCATAATAATTATCTAAAAATTTAAAGTAACATGAAACTATCATGAGTATTAAAGTTATTTTAAGAGATGAATTGTGAGTGAAACAATTTTACTAAAGCAGTTTTTTTTTTAATAGAATATATTCTAAATTCCATCAAAAAAGAATGGAAGAACTAACTGAAGTTGGTCTGCAGAACTTTTTCAACCTTTTTCTACTGTTAGCAGATGTTGCAGAGCTAGAAGATGTAGCAAGTCATGTTTTAGACCTCCTGAATTTCCTCAAGCCTTCCTTTATGACATCTCCTCTAATTTGGAAGGGTCAGATGGCCTTCCTCTTGATGTATACTGAAAAAAATCTGGACATTGGTGTTTTGGCTGAGAAATTTTCAGGTGCTTTCCGGGAGAAAGCAAAGGAATTCTTAGTATCTAAGAATGATGAGATGGGACAGAGACGGACTCTCTGGACACTTCTTTCTATCTACATTGATGGTGTTCAAGAAGTGTTTGAGACCAGCCATTACTTGCATCCATCCCATGAAAAACTGCTCAATGATGGATTTAGTATGCTTCTGCGAGCTTGTCAAGAATCTCAACTTAGAACAGTGTTAAATTTTCTACAGGCTGTTCTGGCCAGAATCAGGTATGTTTTCCAGCAATGTGCTACTTCATTAATTTGCCTTAAATCATCACCTTATGTTGATTCCATGTTAAAGTTTTTCTACTCAGAAATCCAGATATAGAAAGAAAATTTGGTTTTACTGCTACACTGTCATAAATCAGTAGTTTTCAGACGATTATTTCAAACAACAGTTCTACAAAAGAAAGCTTCAGTGCAAATAACAAGCAGCAAAACCAACTTTATAGTGTATCTCTGGTGCAGTTCTAGAACTTTGCCTCTTAGCCTCTTCTCTTTCTGTCTTTCTCCTAAAAGGGTATTGTTCAGAGCTTTCTTTTAGTTATCCTAAACAAGCTTAAATCTGAGGTGCATTTTAACTAAAATTGTGCAATTTTTGTGTACTAAGGAGATTAACTATTCATTAGAGCAGTAAGTTTCTTTAAATGTTTTCCTAGGAAGCTGTAGTCTTGACTGTGTAAAATTCTTCGAGCTAAGCAACTTAAGATATTAAGACTTTTCTATTATTATACCACTCCCTTGTATAAAACTTAATGTTTTCAGATCCTCTTAAATTATGCAAATGTCAGATACACTCAGACTTAAACTGAATAATGGATAAGAGCCATGATTATGACATTTATTACCTTGAAGACTAATAACACATTGAGTTTTACCTTTGAAGTATACATTCTTAAGTTAGGTACTGTCACTTGTATAGTTAGTCACTGTGCCTTTAAATTTATATAAGAAGATCACGTATAGAAAGAGAATTTCATTTGAAGCCATGCCTGAAAATACTAAAAACAGTGCTTTCTTCTTTCTAATAGAAATAGAATATGTTTTTCAAAAGTATTAAGCTTGACAAAATTTCTAAATTGTGGAAATTTATTCATTGCCAATTCTATTTACTGCTAGTTTATATCGTTTGCTTTGTGCTGGACTATATATTCAGGCTGATTAATTCAGATTTTCACTCATAAGGTTATATATAGTTTTTATACCATATATTTTTGCCAGTTTTCATTCTAAGGGTTTACCTTGAGTACTTGGATCAGGTAATAATATCTTTGACTGAAATTATAAGTCAAATAAAGCATGAATCTGAAACCCCTTGAAGTTTTGGAGAGATGGATGGATAAGTAAGTTAATATATTACTTCATTAGTTGTTTATTTTGGGTCTTCTGTATGAACCACAGTTGTTTTTAGTCTAGTATAGTTATTAGTTGATTTTATACTTTCCCAGTGCCAAATTAATTTTATTTGTTCCCTTTTTTAAGTGACATAATATTTTCCTGTGCTTCCTAGGCAAAATTGGAAACTTCTATGTTTCTGGTACCATTTTCAGTATATTTATATTTGTCTGTGTATACAAAACAAGTAGAAGGGAGGGAATTGGCCTAAGCCAGGCTGTGATGATGATCCACTGTCCTGAAATGATTTAGGGGCAAAGGAATAGAAAATGAAGAGGTTAGGTATAAGAACCTTGAGAAGAGGTAGTCATGGAAATAAAGTGACAGAATATGTATATCTTTCTGCTTTTTCCATTAAAGATGGATAGGTCTCTTTTAATCTGTCTTAACAATTGTATTGCTTGCATAGATTGTTCTTTAATGAGGGTTCATGTCACAAATGCTATTAATTTGACTTTAAGTTAGAAATTTTGAGGAATCTTGTGTTGTTTAAAATTTTCATTGAATTGCAAACATTTATTGTCATGGGAAAAAAATAAGCAAAACTAAGATACAAGGTGACAAGTAAAAGTTAAGTAAAATTTACTCTCCTCACCTTCACTTCTTATTCTCTAGTTCAGTGATTCTTTTAACTAGATGTGAATCTGTTCACCGGGGGACATTTGGAAGTGTTTAGAGAGACTTTTGGTGACACAACTAGTGGGTGCTGCTGGCATCTAATGTGTGGAGGTCAGGCATGCTGGTAAGCATCCTCCTATGCACAGGGCTGCCCACACAACTGAGGATTACGTAGCAAGAGTTCAGTTTGACAAGAATGAAAAGCTCTAGTTTTTAGTAGAACTGCTCTAGTTCTACTTTACACAGTAAAGGAATTTTTTATAAAACTTGGTAGATCTTTTCCTTTTATAGACTCAAAACATACAATTGATAATCCTTATTCTACAACTTCATTCCTTAGAATTTCTTAGGCATAATCATGTGGGAAGCCATCTAGTTCTTTTGAATGGCTACTTATATGATACACCAAATGTTATTTAATCAACCTCAAATAACAGAAGTTTGTTTACTGTTTTGTTTTTATAAACACAGCTTTGCTTTATTGTGCATTTGGGGATGTATATCTATAGATTAATTGCTAAGAGTGAATTGGTGTATGTGCTTTGTAAATGTGAACGCTGTTAGCCACATTTCCTAAAAAAATTTTTTTAGGAATATTTACTCTTTGTTAATAGTGTATAAAAAAGTCTCCTTTCTCATTATACTAGTTTATGGAAAATATTTAGGAATTTTGCATTCTAAGATAAAAAGTAATACACAGAAGTTTGTTAAAAAATAGTCTTGGACAATTGTTAAAGTTATCTTTTATTCGCAGTATCAGATAAAAAATGTTATCATTTCTTTCTATAGCAAACTTGTTATTCCTATTTATAGATGAAGAAAGCATAAAGATTTTTTGTGAATTAATGATGATAACAGGATTTAAGTTTCAGGAGTGGTACTTGGATTCTCAGCCACTATATATCATAGCTGCCTTTTTATGCCATCTTTATAATAGTTTACAAATAACTAAACAGACACTAACCATACACTACTAAATAGAAATTCATAATGAATCAGGAGGTAGTTCAATGAGTGAAATCTGAAAACTATTTGCAAAGCTGAATTTACTACCTTTACTAATACATACTTCTATTTGTACTTTACTAAGAAGGAAAAAAGGTTGTTGCTAATTAGGGACTTTTAAGTACTTGTTTTTTTGAGTTTGCTAGTTGCATATTTTTAGAAGGAAGGAATGAGTAATCAGAGATGTGCAGACAAATAAGTCATATTTATGACAATAATTTATCTTTGATTTATGAGCACTGTTTCAAAATCTAAAACTCACTTCTTGTAATAAAAACAAAAATTTTTGCACTATAGATTTAATTTAAGTTAAGTTCTTTAGAATTAAATTCAAACCAGTTTCAGAAATGTCGAAAAATAATCCTCTCCAAGTACCTTTTAAGTAGTTATGTATCTCTTTTAGTCTGTGGGAATCACTATTCAGAAATATAGAGGTAGGGATCAGGAGGGTTTAATGAAGATTGTTGATTGCATAAAGTTCAAACAAGTTTTATATTAGGAGTATCTTTTAATTAGATTTGAATTTTGAGGTTTAGTGGGTACAAAGGATGTATTATTGATCTTCATCTATAAAAGAACACATTTATGTTGAAAACATTTGATTCTTTGCACACGTGTATATTGGTGTTTTGTTTATACTGCTCCATTATGATTGAAAATAGTTTCTATAAGTGAATACCAAATCATCTTTAACTTGTTGCCAAGATTATACAATAGTCCTAACAGATAAGAAGTATGAAGTCCACATGTGGACTATTACGCGTAAGTCTTTATCAATAGTCATAATTTAGTCTTTTAAATCTTTTAACTTTCCGAAGCTTGTGCATCATTCTTCAATGAGACTTATTTATAATAAGAGAGACTGACTTGGCTAGTTTCCTTTAATTCCAACAGTCCTTAGAACATCCAGGACCATTATTGTCAAAACCGAGTTGCTTTTACTTTGGGATCTTTTGGAGAAGGGCTCCAGGGATCATTCAGGATTGTTTACCTTTAAAAGAAAGAAGTATGTGAGCCAGGGAAGGAAAACACAGTCCTTAAGGTATTTGATCATTGGGATGTTTGTAATTTATTAACTCCAGTTTTAGAACTTCATTGAAAATGAAACAGGCATTTATTTAGGTATGCTGTATTAATACTAATATTTTTACAAATGTAAAAAATATGGATAATTGTCAAAAATTGAAGCATAGGCCTTTTTTTTTTTTTTTTTTTGTCTTTTTATGTTAAGAACAGAACTAAACTCTTTTGGTCTAGATAGACAAGATAGGTTACATTACATAGATTGATGATATTTATTCCTGGCTGCATCCCTGACAAGTGAAAGAATGAAATACTTTACCTTAGCCATCTCTTCTGTTTTCAAATTCAGGTGGGAATAAGGTACTAGGCCCTGCATAAATGTGTGTGCAGGATGTGTGAGTGTGTGTCTTGAACTGGGTAATAGTTTTATAACTGTATGACAGAGAAATTATAGGTAGGAAGGAACTAAGATCACTGATTAAAGGGAGAAGCAGCTCCCCCTGGGCTGTTAAGAAATAATAACTTCACATGCCACTTTCTGCTAACTGGAGCTGATGGCTCACCAGAGCATTCTTTATTGCTGATTAAGTAGCATTATGAAAATACTGACTTGGTTATGTTAACTAAATGCCTTTGTGTTTGAAACTTCGAATGTCAAATAGTTTTAGCAGTCATCTTTAACATTTCACATTACCTTTCTGGAATCACATTTCTAGTTCTCTCTTGCTGTTATTTGAGGTTAATATAAAAATGGCAGTCTTTCATTTGCAGAGTTAGGTGTAGCCAAAAGCTTTTCTTTAATTATATCCACTCATGCTGCTATAGTTAAGGGTCTGTCAGCATTTCCATTATAAACCTCCATTTTCAGGGTTTATAATACAGCTATGAAAATTAGCTCTGGGCAAAAACTTGACATACAAGGCCTCATGAGATTCTCCCTCCTCTCCATCCCCTTTTCTCATTTTTACTGAAGTAAGGGTGAGTGATTTCAAAATGCCTTTTGGCATCTGCAAATATCATTGGAGTTTAAAAAGAAACAATAAATTTTCAGGCTCTGTACCTGTCTGTCCTACAACTTAAGGGAGGTTGTAGACTTAGAATTTAAGACAAATGGGTATTGATCAACTGACATGCTATTTTGTATTAAACAAGAGCCTAGTTTCAAAGAGTTTACAGGCAGTTAAAAA